GAGGCGGAGGCCGACGCCGAGGCCGACGCGCCCATGTAGATGACGCGGCCCTCGGGGTCGCGTGCGGACACGACCAGCACCTTCCTCTCTCGGGCCTGTCGAGACTGGCGCGTCTGACGTGACCTTCGCGTCGAGGACACGTCCCCGAGGAGGAGATGCACGTCCTCCTCCATGCCGAGGGCCTCGTCGTCGTCGTCGACGGGCTCGTCCGCGTCTTCGTCCTCGCACACCCAGCTGTCCGCCCGGCTCTCGGCCCGGCTGGTCGGCCTGCTGCCTGCGCGAGAGCCAGGCCTGCTGGAGTGGTGGCCGTGCACGCTGCCCATCCGGGACCGCGTCTGCCTGCCGAGGCCGAGGCCCACTGGCGGAGGCTCCAGCACGGGGGCCGCGATGTAGGAGCACGAGCGGGTGCTGGAGCGGTACATGTCCATGCGGCTGGGGCAGCGGCTGCGCGCCGACCCGAACCCGTCGAGGATGATCTTACTGGGCGAGGGCTGCTTGCTGGACGACTTGGGCGGTTTACCGGACGACTTGGGCGGCTTGCCGTTCTTGCCGGCGACGGGGTACTGGTGCTGAGGCAGCAGGTGGCTCTGCGCACCGGCCTGCAGGTGGCCCAGCAGCGGGCCCTGCAGGAACTCGAGGCTGCGCGAGGACCGCATGCTGCCCGCGGAGGAGGCGGCGCGCTGCTTGCGCCGCTCGCCCGCCCCCGCGCCGCCGCCGCTGCGCTGGCCGCGCCCGCTCACGCGGCTCTCGTTCTTGCGCCACGCCGTCATGGGGGACTCGGCGCGCGACAGGCTCGAGTCGGACGCGGCGAAGCCCTGCTGCCGGAGCTGCTCGAAGATGTTGGCCGGCGGCGGCACGGCGCAGGCGGCGGGGATGGGCACGGCGGGGGTGCTGGAGCCGCGGCGCTGCCGCTGGCGCTGCGCGCAGCGCGCGTGGTGCGGCTGACCCTTGGCCGGCGCCTGGCCCCGCCCGCTGCGCCTCGTGCAAGCGCCCGGGCCCGGGCCCGGGCCCGGGCCGTGCAGCGGCCGCTGCGTGCAGTAGCACTTGTCGCTGCCCTGGCACGAGTCCGTGTCGCAGGCGCACGCGCACGGCTGCAGGGACAGGGCCTGCAGGGCCTGCATTGGGAGCGCGTCGGGGGGCGGCCGGTACTTGGACAGGGAGCAGTAGCAGCGCTCGGCCGACAGGCACGTGCACGACTCGCTGTCGTAGCTGCAGTCGGAGCACGACACGTAGCCGCTGGAGGAGCGGTTCATGCCGCCGCCGCCGCCCTTGCCGCTCCGCGTGCCCTGGGTGCCCAGGGTGCCGAGGGTCCTGCCGCCGCCGCCGCCGCGCGACGAGTCGCACCGGATCATGGTGAAGAAGTCGCTGTCCTCGGACGTGCTGGTGGTGAGGGGCGGCGGCATGGGCGGCGGCAGCGTGGGCTGATGGTGGTGGCGGTTGCTGGTGCGCCGGCTGCTGCGCCTCCGCGGCAGGCGTGCCTTGTTGCTGGCGCGGTTGTTGTTGTTGTTGTTGTTGATGCTCACGTTGACATTGACGTTGCACGCCGCGTCCAGGGCCTGGCTCACGCTGATGCTGGGCCGCCGGCTCATCCTGAAGTTGGACGACGGGTAGGACGAGATGGATGAGGCGGCCACGGGTACCGGCTTGATCTTTTTCTTGCTCTTCTTCTTGGGGGCGGCGCCGGCGCACTTGCCGCCCGCCTTGGTTGCGCTCGCGCTGGGCGAGCTGCCCCCGCTGAAGAGCAGCTTTCCGAGTCCTGTGCGCTTACTTGGCCGGAGCTTGTTGATGGACCGGCGGACGGCCCTCTTGATGTACACGGCCGTGTATGCGATGCCGCGCCGCCGCCCCCGACCGCCCCCGAGCCCCGCCCCAAGCAGCTGCTTCTTCCTCTGTCGTCGCATGATGCTCTTGCTGCGGTGGTACAGCTCGTCTTTGGTGAGCGTGAGCGCCAATTTCAGGAGGAACTCTTTGTAAATGGGCTTGAGGTCGTTGAAGGACATACCCTCGGCGTCGATGATGGCGCCCAGGATGTCGTCGAGGCTGTCGAGCCCCTCCTGCTGGCGGAACTCGGTGAAGAGCTCGTTGAAACCTAGCGGACTGCCGCCGCCGCCGCCCCCGGCTCTGCCCAGCCCGTTGATGCCGCCACCGTTACCGCCGTGGGCTGCGGCCAGGTCGGCGCCGCCCCCCGGGGCGTTGCGCGCGTGGTTTGGCGGCCGCCGGCCGTAGCGAGTCAGCGGGCCGTTGGCGTTGAGGAAGCTGTGGCTCCGGGGAATGGCCACCTTGGTGAGGATATCTCCTCCCGGTCCGGAGGTGGGCGCCCCACTCCCCACATCCGACGAGGGAATGAGGCTGGACCGCCTGCTGCCGGCGTGGCTGCTGACCTGGCGGCCCGTGCCGCCCGCACCTCCGGGCACCCCCTCGCCACCCCCACCGCCCCCGGCCCTGGGCATGTAGCTGCCGCGCAGCGAGGACACGTTGGTCTTGTTGCTCCTTGGCACCTCGGTGTCCTCCAGCACGATGAGGTCCTCGCCATCCGTGGACGAACCCGACGTTTTCTTTTTGCGAGGCGGTCGCTTGGGGACGGGCGGAGGCACCTTGGGCAGTTGCGGTGGCGACGACCTCTGCTGGTTGACCTTCATGGCGGCCTGCTTGGCTATCTGCTTGGCCTGCTGCTGGGCGGCCAGGGTGGCGGCGTCCTCCGGCGCCCGGTCCGTGTTGCTGCAGCTGCTCTCCGCGGACAGGGACAGCGACGCGGCCGCAGAGACGGCCGAGTTGGCCGAGTCGGTGGCTTGACCGTTGGCCGAGTCGCCGCACACGCTGCCGGCGATGCTGAGGCGGCCGATGCCGTTCTCGTGGTGCATGCGCGCGACGCGCCCCGCCAGGAGACGCTCTCCGCTGCCGGTGTTGGCGGCCCCGCGGTCGGCCCCAGGCGTCGCGGTGCCCGCCGCCGCTCCCGCTTCTGCCGGCGGCGGCGCGCTGGTCCGCATACTGGTCATGAGCGCCTGGTACAGGTTGGCCGCCATGACGATGGCGTCCTCGGAGGAGGCACAGACGAAGCCGTGGCACTCGAGATGACGGGACGCGCCCGCACCTCGCATCACCACGGCGAACATGGGTGCGTCGTGGCCGTCGGCGTCACGGTCCAGGTCGGCGTCGGCCGCCGGCCGGAGGATACTGCGCATCGACCGAATGACGCGCTCCTCGGCGCCGCTCAGGTCGTGGAACAGCGCGTCTTGGTCGACGCCTCCCTGGGATGGGTCGGCGATGAGGGGCAAGAATGCGCACTCCATGGCCTTGGTGCCGCCGGGGGCCGTGTCCTTCTGGCGGCATACGAACTGTACCGCAGCCCAGACCGCGATCCTAGGGAAGGGGTTGAGCTGCTCCAGTTGTCCCGTAGACTGCCCTTGGGGCTGCCCCGTGGATTGTCCTGTGGATTGTCCTGTGGACTGGCCCTGGGGCTTCTGCTGTGCGTCGCCGTGGTGCACGCGCAGTCCGCTGCCGGAGATCTCCAGGAATCCCGGCTGCCACGGCGTGGGCTGTGCACTGGGCTGGACGCTGGAATCGGTCTTGTCTCCGCTGGACGCCAGGGAGCCGCGCCGCGCCCGGTCGCGCCGGTAGCCGAAGTAGAGGTCCTTGAGCGGTCCCTGGAGCCCCTGCAGCGTCGTCACCTTGTCCACCAGCGGCACCGACCCGAGGTAGTCCACCGAGAAGCGCTGGCCGCCACCGGGACCACCTGCAACAGAGGGCGAGTGTCATGTGCACCTGCGAGCGAGCGACGTTCAGGTGCGCGTCAGGCTTGTGCTTACCGCCGCGGCCGCCGCTCGACATCTCGGCGAACATTTTCTCGATGCGCGCCTGCACCACGTTGGCGTCCTTCCTGGAGCGCCGCTCGGCCCGCGACGCGCCCTCCAGCCTGCAACAAAGTTTTGCAATAAGTGGCCGTGGCACGCCCTGGCGTCGGCGTCATGGTCACGTCCCCCGCGGGGACGGCCAAACTGCGATCACGTTCTCGCGGTGCATGCCCCGGCGGGGAGGGGGGAGGAAACAAATCAAACATACGGACGGCAGGCCCGTCCCTCATCGCGACTGAGTTGCTGACGGGTTTTCACCGCCTGCCTGGCTTGCCTGCCGGGTGAGCATGTGCGCGGCTAGACCGCGGGCGCCGCGCACCGCGGGGCCCCCGGGCGATCAATCAGCCACTCGTCGCGGACGAGACGAGACGGGACGGGTGGACGGCGGATCGCCGGAGCTAATCAGGTGTAGAGGGTGCTGCGCTCGTCGGCGATGTCTGGCACGCGGGCGGGCGGGGGCCCCATATGGTATGGCGCCGGCTGCTCCCAAGCCGCTCCCGCTTGACCCAGAGGGCCCCGGGCGCCGCTGTCGGCGCGGCCGCTCCCCGGTAGAGAAAGGCAAACAGCTGATCGAGTCGTTCGACGGCGCATCTCTTTGTCGTGTGACGAGGCTTTTACATGCAGCGCCGTGACAGGTGCTCCCTGTCCGACGAAAACGACAGCCGGCCGACGGGTTTTGTCGGACGCAATTTAATTGCTGAGCTTAACTTGAACTTGAAATTAAACTTTAACTTTAAATGCTCAGCTCTGTCAGGAAGCGCAAGGGGAGACCGCCCGGAAGACGGCGTGAAGTGAGGCGCCTGGCGTGAGACGTGCGATGTGAGGACGACAGGCATGCCAACCAAAATAGCGAAAAAAAAAAATTAAGTTTAGCGCGCCGCAGGCCAAGGTAGACGCACATTTAGCTCAGCTTCACACGGTTTTAACGTGCGTCTACCTTGTAACTAATAGCTAGGCTGGCCCGGCGTGGCCGGTGTCGAAGGGACCGGAGGACGGCGTTTTCGTACCTGGTGGGTAGCGGGGGCGGCGGCGGCGCTGGCGGCAGGGGCAGCCCGCTGCCGGCGGTGGTCGCGGAGGCGGACGCGGGCGCGGCCGTGGTGTAGCCGTAGCCCGAGATGAGGGAGCGCGTCTCGTCGAACATGGAGTCGATGCGCTGCTTGTAGATGGAGTAGGACGAGGCCGACGTGGAGGTGAGCGTCTCCAAGGGGTCGTGGTCCGGGCCGGCGATGAGCGCGGCCTCCACGGCGTCGAGGCGGAACCCGGACGAGTCCAGGCCGAGCCCGGCCAGCCCGCCGGGCGCGCTGCCCGTCAGGTCGACCTCGGACTCGCACTTGACCATGGCGACGGCGACTGCGGCCGTGTCGCCTCACATGTCACGGGCCCCGAGGGCGGGCCGCTGGCGCCGCTGGTCCGGCCCCGCCATGCCCGGCCCCGCCGCGCCCAGATCCGCGACGGCGCGTGCTGCGCGTGCTGCGCGTGCGGCGCGAGCGTCCGCTGGGCAGGAAGGAATCTGGAACACAAGGCAAGGGAGCAATCACGTCGACTGGCGGTCACAAGCGGGGCTGAGGCAGCTGGGGGGCGTCACCGGGCCGCGGCCGAGCACCCCGCCGTCCTCCCGGGCACCGCCTCCCGCGGATGACTTATCGCCGCGCGCGCCGGGCCGGGACCACCTCATCGTCAGGCCCACTAAGTAATGACACAAATGACGCTGGGGCTGATTGGCCCGGGGAGGAATGCCGGCTGCCGTTGTCGGCGTGAGAAATGGTCCGGCCGCTATGATCTCAAAGAGACGATTAGTTTTCTCTCATGACACGGCAATCTGGGCCGGGCGGAGCTGCTGCCGCCGGGCCCGGGCCGGGCGGGCGCGCGGGGGTCCTCCTCTACGGGCTGATCTGTCTTTGGGGTGTGTTTAGCAAGCGAGTGCGAGAGAGACGGTGCATGGTAATCAGGCCCGGGCGAGAGCCATCTCTCCCTTCCCGAGGCTCTGTCTCTCTCTCACTCTCTCGCTCTCCAGGCGACAAATCACTTCTGGGATGCACTGGTGCATATCCAAGCAGTGTGGCCCTGCTCTGCCCTGGCCACGCTCGCCGCCCATTTCTATTCACAAAACCCGGGGCAGGGACCAGTTCCCCCGCGCGAGGATGACTGCCAATTAAGTTTGAAATGTGGTCGCCGCGGTGCCACTTGGCGAGACGTGGGACCGCGTCGCGTCGCCTCGCGTTCCGCTCCGGTCCTCCGTGCTTCTCTCTTTCGTTTGTCGTCTTGGTTTCAAACAGCGCGCGGCGGTCTTCCTCTTCCGGAGGATCTCCTTTTTCCCGCCGGTCGCGCCCACGATCCCCTCCCCCTCGCGGTGGCTCGGCTCCCTCCCACTGGACAGCGGTCGCCTTTTCACTCCTCTTCGTTTTTCCTCTCCAGCTTCCCTTCTTCTTTCCCGCGCAGTTTTTTTGGCCCCTTCGAACCTTGTTGGCCGCCTCCGGGGGGCTCGAATGTCGCAAGCTAATTTGCTAGGAAAAGTGACAGCTCCACCACCCGCTGCCACTGCTCCGCGTTGGATCCACCCCCCTCCTCCTCATCCTCTTCTTCTTCCCGGGGGTGCTCCACCGCACCGCCGTAAAGTTAAGTCTGGAGGAGGAGAAGGAAACGGTTAGGCGTTGCAACAAGTAACTAGGAAACCATAACTGAGAACAACATCCCGCCGACCAGAGCCAGTAGTCCTCCTCCCTCTCCCCGCCTCCACTCCTCTCCCCCCTTCCCCCCTTCCGCCGGTCCCCTGCTCCCCTCTCCGCCGCCTTTTGCTCGAGAGCTCCTCCACATTCAGGGAAGTTTGAGAGAACAAAGTTCCACGCGGCTGAGTTCGCCGCGAGAGCCAGTCAGTGTAGACAGATAATGCCGCCGAGGGGATATAATTAGCTGGTAGTCTAGCGGGGGCG